AATGCACCCACTTTTTCAGTTACTCTTCCAAATTACCACTTATTTTTTGCTTCGCAATCAGGTGTCCTCCCACCTGGTTTCATTACAATACTCCATTGTTTGTCATCAATTTTATCACAAGGTATGATTAGATCTAAACGCGCTTGTATCTGGCGTCCCTCCAACCTGGTTTCATTACAATACCCCATTGTTTGTCATCAATTTTATCACAAGGTATGATTAGATCTAAACGACCTGGTATCTGGCGTCCAAATAAAAGCATCGCAGATGGTTTACCAGTTGTGGGATAAATTGCTCTTCTGTAGGCTACAAGAAGTTTTGGTAACAGTGGCGGCAATTAATTAATTTTTCAATGTTTGTATAAATCGTTCTGCCTAACCATTCATGGATGGACGATAGGGTGCACCTTGTTTAGGCGTAGTTCCGTTGTCTGTTAAAAGTCTTTACTTCAGCTGAACTACCTACAGTGGGTACTAATAGTATACCATAGCAAGCAAATATATCCCAACCCTTTGGAACTGTTATTTCTGCAGACATATGCGATACTATATGAACTTCTGGCCACTTACCAACGAATCGTCCAGAAACAGCCAGTATTTGCTTCAAAATGGCCGAGCATAATCAATATGAACTCGTTGAAATGGCTCACTGGGTGCTTTCCAACGGAGATATGGTTTCTTGTTCAATACGTATTGATTGACAAGCCGCGTAATTTTCAACGAAATTCTCTATATCTTTATCCAAGCCTTACCATCAAATTTAATGTCTCCATTTTTATTATTGCAAAGTGCGCAGTACGTAATTCATCGAGTAATCGTTTTCGCGTTGATGATGAGATGTTTACTTGAACGCCGTTCATTAAAACGTCAGCATGTAAGCTAAACTCAGTTTGAATAGTTCCAAACTGACCATTTGGACTAGCATCTCATTGATACTTTAAGCAATCAATTAGATTTTTTGTTTCTTTATCATTTTTAAGAGATGCCTGCAATCTATGGGTAAATTCCGATTTCATATTTACATAGCTGGTGTAAGAGAAAATGAATACAAAAACAAGTAAGAAAATTATATTCGGCTGGGACCGCACCACCATTTAACGTGCTTTCATTCATTGTTATACCCATGTGGATGGAATAAAATTTATCGTCCACCTTTTACTTCACTAAAATCAAAGCTTATATAACCAAATTTTTTAATATAATTTATTTTACTCCCCTCATTCTTAAGCCACAGCGAAAGCAACAGAGTGCTTTGTGTAGATTTTTTTTCGCAAATATGGAAATATGGACGATGTAATATAAAGTGTTAAGATTGTATATTATTTTTTTAATAGATAGCTGACAGTTTAATTAACAAATGACGAAAATTGTATGAAGAAATTGTACGTAAAAATGTGAAACATTAAGCAAAAACAAATCGTTATTTCTAGTTATGTTGCTTTATGAGCATAAACATATCTTTTCAAGTATTTTCGAAGCAAACTACAAGCTCAAAATTCATCCGGAATGGTAATTGTATAGGGTCTTGCAAGTTACCAATTCTATTCGAAAGTACCCAATCGATTTGAATTTGCCCTAAAAAGAAAAATTGGTCGACTATGTCGATATAACGTCCATCATAATTAATGTGCAAGGAGCACAAATAGTTTAGCGCATTGTACCCTCCAAGTGCTCTTATTCGACACGTATATTGACTAGATAATTACAAGGAATTCAATCCAGCACATCGTGGGGTCCGTAGAAATTTATTTAAAACTAAAACACTGCTCCCTCTTTCTTCCCTTCTACCCACCATTGCGATGAGAAAATTAATCCACTACCTTGCGAGGTCCGCGGTATTTAGTTTGAAACTAATACGCATAGCTTCGCATAAATCGAAAAGCTTCTACTTAATTCCTAAGCAATGTTCGCTTGAGCAGGTTCAACATTTTCACGCAATCAAGATGACTTATATAACCATTTTTACAACATTTTTTTTTTTTTTTTCTAAACTGCGACAGTATACTCTTTTTGTCACAATGTTTGCAACATGCAAAAGGAAGCTTCAGAGATCCTACACAGTACTTATATTCTTGATCAACGAGAACTTGCCTGCGTGTAGGTGTACTTTTTTCGTACTTTTTACCTATTACTGATAAGGTGAACAACACAGAATATTGAAGATACACTACTACTACTACAAAGGCTACCAATGCTAAAACAAATATTGTGATATACTGTCACATGGTGGCGAATTCGTCTTTCCTTAGCAGTAGAACCAAGTACTGAAAGCAGTTTTGAATAAGCACTCTACAACTAGGGCATCGACCTACTAGCTACTTCTTAGAGTCTTAGTTTACTGCTAAGTTTAACGTGTCTAAGCAATCGCATGAAAATTGTATGAAGACGTCGGTTCAGATTTCAATTTGAAAGAAGTGTTTTTTTCATCTCTCTTATCCAGTAAACTCAAGATACTTATAAGACAGGACTACGACTATGTGCGGGAAGTCAACTGTATGGATGACATGAAATACCGGCCCACCCATAATGATTTTTCTGTCATTTCTGGACAAGTGAAAGAGTATTAGAGCGTTAGGTAATATGAGAGGAGGAAACAACGGCAGACGATCGAATAATAGAGCTGTAAGCTTTCAAATGATTGAAAATTGCAAACATTTCTTTATTGGCAGTAATATAATTATTTTATTAATTAAGATAGAATGACTCAACCTTATCTATTTATTATACCCGACACCAATTGTGATGCAAGGTTAGTAAGGCTTTTCGAAATCCTACGGAATTTACTTGCCCAGCTCATACGGCCAACTGAAAAAATTTGTATAAATGATGCATGTTTTTGAAGGCCTACTACGTCTAAATTCGAAATCCTATTTTCACTTTTGAGGTAATAATGTATTTAGCTAGTAGTGTTTTCACTACCCACTACTTTTATGAAAGGTTAAACTCATATCCGATATATAGGTAATGTACGACTTTTGGTGTTGATTTTGTGGACTTTGTTCAATTTTAAGATAATCTTTGTTCGTATTGCGAACACCCAGCAACCAATATTACTTTCAGTAGATTAATCCTTCTAGCCGCCAGATTCCAAATATGTTCCATATTGACAAAAGGTGAAAAGGTTACCCAGCGATTAGCGGCAGGGTGTACTCATCATTTTTACGTTTCATTTCAACTCGAAGCCTATTTCACGAGAAGTTCCAATTGTTCACTTGATAAATTGACAAAATGATAAAAGACTGTCCTCAAAGACCAATTTTAATTTTGCAACTTTAATGATACAAAGGTGGACTTAAAGAAGATAAAATGCAAGAAAAACAAAAAAAAAAAAAGAAGAAGCAAAACGACTTGGGCTCCGGCCTCCAAATCAAGCAAAGTTCAATAGGCCACCTTCATGCGGTCTTCATTCCGATATCGTGCAATATTAAAGCTATGAGTGTTCGACAATGCCTGAGGTGGAATTCAAATTAGAAGGATTGTTCGGAGATCCTTCTACGGCGAAACTGCATCATCTCATTGAATTTCGAATCCGAATAATGTGTGAATGATTTTCGAGCCCGATTAAAAATGAAAAAAAAAAATAAATAAATAATAATAATAGCAACAAAATTATATTTGAGGCGATCCCTATAAGTGATAAGAACTAAATAGTTTTTCTTACTTTAACTACTTTCTGCGATAAAGAAGCGCTTGTTCCATGGATTTGCATTTTCAACTCAAGCCCTTTGAGTTTATCATGATTTTCTTTTGAATGATTAGTTCTTTTTAAGTAAAACAAAAAACAAACCACAAAAAAGCCAAAACAATAGTGCAGATCCTTTGCTTTTTACATTGCTAAAAAAAAAAAAAAAAAAAAAAAAAAAAAAAAATATTTATATTAAACAAATTCGAAAAAATCCAATTTTCCTTTAATTTTACGCTTTTGGAAATTTCATTTAAGTTTTGTAGACCATTTTTGATTAACTAGATTTTTTCAATGTTTTAAGTTTTGTATGCTTAATAAGAATAAGGCACCAAAACAATTACACCAGCAGACACACAGACACTCACACGCACACAAAAGCATCAAATAATTGTTCCTCAATTTTCTTCATTTATTATTTCAACTTTTTTTCAATTGTTTTCTTTTCTTTTCTTTTGTTAATTGTTTTCTTAAACCGATTTTGTTATAATTTCTTTTGAAATTCTATTCGTGTGCACCTGTATGTGAAACCAGAGACCAATAATGTGTGTAGTTTTATTTGCCGAAAAAAAAAACCAGAAACTACTTACCTACACATTTGTACATGCATATATATATGTATATGTAGTTGTGTAGCAATCTTCTTGTAAATAATTTTAGTTTGACAATTTCTTATTTGATTTCATTTGATTTATGCTTTGTTCTTGAGTTTTAAAAAATCTTGGAATTCGCTTTTACTCTCTTACGGTTATTATGGTTTCTTTTTCTTTATCTCTTTTTTTCTTTTCTTTTCTTTTCTTTTGTATACCATATATCCTGCTAAACCTGCATATATCCAAATGTTCGTTTTCGAAATAAAAACTAAAAACGAAACACTATATCGTTTTCAATTTGAAACCCCCAAAACAATAACTCCCTGAAACTAAATGGGTCGCTTTTTCTTATTCTTCAAAATTTTACCTCCTCCTATGAAAACAATTCAAATATTGGATTTGTTGGTTATATGTAACGGACTCTCTCTCCAAAATTATTCGAAATACATTAATATTTTCAAAATCCAAATCGAACATTACATATATATATATCTGTATATATATATATATACTCATATATACTCACATACGTATATATATATACCTATATATATATATATAAATAAATATATATATATATACATATATAATATATATATGTATGTATGAACATGTATATACTTATACATATGTATATATACATGTATATACATATATATATATATATATATACATATATATATATATATACCTTCATATATGTATATGTGTCACATAATAAAATAGAATATGCCACCGTCGGCTATATGGCAAAACGAATTCAAATGCGAAAACAAAGATTTATGACGATCCAAAAGATGAAAGAGCAAAAAAGTCAACAACTTGATGGGGTGCAACAGCCGCCCAATCCCAATCCAAATGCGGGGGATCATGGACATGGGCATGGTCATGGCCATAGCCATGGTCATCCTCATGCGCCCAAGCAAACAGTGAGTAATCGCCCAATTGGCTTTCAAAATATCCAACCAAATATTGGTGCTCGCGGTTGCTCGATAGTGGGACCCTTGTTCCAGGAGGTGAGATTCAAGGTGCACGATCCAAAGGCTCATTCGAAGGGAGGTACTCTGGAAAATACGGTCAACGGGGGCCGTGGTGGTCCACCAGTTGGTGGACCTCACGGTCCTCCACCGCCAGCCGGTCCCATTGCTGGCGGTCCAGGAGGCGGTGGCGGTGGCGGTGGTGGTGGGGGCGGCGGTGGAGGTGGAGGTGGCGCTGGCGGACCACCTGAAGGCGGGGATGCTGAAGCGGCAGTACCAGCTCATTTACTACAGGGAAAACCGAAAAGTGTAAAATCTCCATTTTTGACTCAATTTCTCTCTCTCTCTCTTTCTTTCTCTCTCTTTCTCTTTTTTTCCCTCTCTTCCCATTTTGTTTTTTTTTTTTTAATTTCTTGCTATCCACACTTGTAATAATTAAAAATTTTATCGGGCTCTGTGTTTTTCTTCTTTGCTCTCCCCCTCTAGGACGTTAACAAACTATTAGGTGTCACACCTTCTGACATTGACAAATACTCGCGTATCGTATTTCCAGTTTGTTTTGTTTGCTTTAATCTTATGTATTGGATCATCTATCTGCACGTCAGTGATGTGGTCGCGGACGACTTGGTCTTACTGGGCGAAGAGAAATAAATCTCAATCCAAGGCAGTGTCGACATACTACTCAGTAGAAAAAAAATTACCGTAGTTTTTAGTGTTCTACAAAAATTAAACGTACATCATTAAAATAATTTTCAAAAAATAATAATAATAATAACAATAAGAGAGTAAAAAAGAAAAATAACTATAATATTAACATTAAAATAACATAAAAGTAAACAGTTAGGCTTAGGTTAATAATTTAGATTAAATAACAAATTTCAAAAAAATAAATAAATAAATCAAAACTATTTGTAGAAAAATCAACAACGTAAGAACCAAAAGAAAAACAAAAACCACAGAAAAAAAAACAAAAAATCAAAACAGCGCCCCAGTATAAAGCTCAAGCGAAGACACGATTACTGAAACTGTAGTAAATTATATACACGAAAAAAAAAACCCGATGTTTTTTGTTTCTTGTTTTTTTTTTTTTTTTTTTTTTTTTTTTTTGTTCATAACTCAGCCCAGGTTAGATGACTTTTGTTGTATATTTTTTAGCAAATCTGAACAAAAATCCAAAAATGATGCTTCCTTATAGAATCTAAAGCACAAAAATTTTTCACAACACTAAACAACTCAATAAGTAAATAAATGGCCGAAACAACAATTGTTTGTCTTCCTTAAACACACACAAAACTAAACTCTTCTGACCTCTTCGTTTTTATGCCCACCAAAGCCGGATGGAAGTTCATTATAAATTTCGCGATAGTGTTTGTTACATTCGAAACTACTCCCAACGCGAAGATAAGGATGAGATTCTGACAACGAATGGTCGTGCGCATGGAATTCTCACTCAGTTTAGATATGGTTGTCTGTCTGTCTGTCTGTCTGTCTGTCCATTTTCTTTGCGTGCTTGTAATAGTCGAAAATTTCCATCAAATGTACGCAAAATTAGAAATTTTCACAAATGACGTCTGTCCGACCATTGCGTGATCATCTATGAATGGAACGTATGAAATTAAAATAATATAATTTGAAACTTGGACATTTATATCTTATTGAATTCTGCGAATCAAAAATATATAATTACTGATTGACCATAAATCGTCAAAAAAAAACTAAAGAAAAAAAAAAGTTAATAAAATTTCGGATGGCGGTGCCATGAACAATGAAAGGAACATGTTCGCGAATTCTTTCGTATCTTCTTAGGATGGTGGGCAAAGGAGATTCGTTTCAAAACGAATATGACTTTTTTAGTTGGTTTATCTTCAAGATCCTTCGGCTTATTCCATAAATTTCGCCCAACAATAAAAACGAAATAAATAAATAATAAATAAAGAGTATAAAAATAAAATATGTTTGTAAAAATAATCAGTAAATAAAAACAAAATTATGAAAAGTGTTTTTGTTTTTTGTTTTGGTTTTCTTTTCAAAAACAGCGCTTCCAAAACAATTTGCCAAATTTATATTTTTAGGCATACTTATAAGCAATTACAAATTTTATGGAATATATAAACAACAAATAGCCAACAAAACCAAAGTCTTATAACATCTTCACAACAATACATCGGGCTTTTTTTTTTCTTTTTCTTTTTTTTTTCAAATTCATTTTATTGTTATTAGCATTTTTCTTGTAATTTTTTCGCACAATATATCATAAGGAAATAAAAAGTAATATGATAACGTTTATCAACTTAATAAGGCAAAATGAAACAACAATGACAAAAACAAATGCACTCATAATTCCCTTAACGAATTCAAATTAAACAAAAATTTCAGTAAGTAAAAGAAATGGAAAAAAATTAAATAAAATCAAGTAATAATAATAGCAATACAAGAACAAAAAAAAAAAAAAAACAAAATAAATAAATAAAACGATAAAAGAAAAGATAAGATTATTTAACTATAGTAAGAAAAATGTTGAGATTTCAAAAGACACACAAAAATGAGAAATACTGCCTAAATATTATATAATACATATATATATATATATGTATATATATATATATATATATATAAAGTAAACTAAAATAATTGAAAAATGAATTAAATTAAATTTTAATAATGTTAATAACGAAAGAATAGTTTAAATATATATTAAAAAATAATGAAAAGAAGAAGCAGCGAGCAACACTTAGATTAGCATAATTTTCAAGTTAAATAATATTTGTATATACAATATACACATATATATTTACATACACATATATATATATATATATATATGTATAAACATAAAACACAAACACTCGTATATATATTTGCGCAGATATACCTACATACATATGTAGCCGAACGAAACTAAAACGGATCTTAAAGAACACTATCGCAACGGTGACTGCATTATATTACGCGTTCACATGTTTAGATTCGCTCATACATGTTATCATGTAAATGATGGAATCGTATTGAATTGTATAGGTAATCAGTGCGTTTATATATTTTACGAATCTGTTCTAATAACAACAACTATCCATACAATACATTCATACATACTTACATACATACATACATGCAGGCATACAATACATATGTAATGACGTTGTGTACATAAAAACTAGTTAAATACCTATAATAAACACCAAACGATATGAACAAATATATATATTAAAAAAATAAAAAAAATAAAAAAAGAAAACAACAGCAAATGAAATGAAATATGAAAGTAGGAATAAACTTCGCATATACACATAAATATAAATACGTATATACGTGTATTTGAAATAGAATAATAATAATAATAATAATAATAATTTAACGGAAATAGATATAAAGAAAATAACATTCATTTCTTTTTGTACGTATGAATGTATGTGCATTCATGCACGGTTATTAAATTAAATAATAGAAAGGAAAAAAAAA